ATATAAAATATATAAATATACCTTCGAATATTTAGACCCCTAGGACAAAATTACAGACCCACACAAAACTAGTGAATCTTTTCTAAAATTCTGGTCTCGGTTACATGCAGAACACAAAACAAAACTTAAATTGCTTTACTGCCCTGTGCCTTAGCCTGTTTGATTGATGTCTCATGGAAATTGAAAACTGACACGTGATTATTATCTTATGTTTCCAACCAAAACCTCTTATTTGATAATAGCCACTTATTTTCAAACATGAGCTTCCCATACCACCACTACAAAGTACTTATTCAAGGCAAAGAAGCATTAGTCTCCATCACGTAACATTTCGAGCATGCATTATTCAAAGTTAGCATGACTAATAGTTAATTGCATGCAATTCACTTCTATCTAAACTTAGTTTAGCAGGAGAAAGCCACTGGACAGAGGTCACAATTTCACAATACAGAGGAACTGCACATAGATGCTGATTAGCTTGTTTAATATTAATCTCATCTGCACCTTAACTAGCAATAAAAATCCACAAGATCTTGTTTGTACATCTCACAACAAGGCCAGTTGAAAGTAGAAATGTCTGTTCAGCAGATACAGCAACAAAGACAAAAGACAGGTAAATTCTTAACTATAAGCACACACATTCACATGGCCTTATCCTGCACAAACTGCACCTACCCCAGAATGTGGAAGTAGACTTGGTAGTCCCAGATAGCCTCCTCTTCCAACAAAAATAGTACTGATTTGAATGGAAAATGCCAGTAAGTTGTTTAACTTGCATTAGGCATGTCAAAAATAATACAAACCCAAAAAACTGTATTACTCTTCTTATTCACAACCTACACAAAGCTTAAAACAAATAAAAGCTGTCATGTTGCTATGGATATCTATGCATTCTTTAGAAGCTTTTCACTGCATTATTTGTCACACATCAAATTTCTTCAGAAGCTGTCCAGACAGCTACAGAGCTGCAGCAGAAAGCCAGCGTTACAGAAAAAAATCATCCTCACAAATGGAAAAAAAAAGAAAAAAAAAAACAACCTGCTCTTAGTAGAAAAGAAAAATATCTTCACAGCAACACTGCCATTTTCGAGTCACAAGCAGCAACTGACACGATGAAAACCGCAAACAGAGCCAGTCAATTCTACACACATTCCCTGTCCTGGTGTTTCTGCTGCTAGCTGTTACTATTTTGGGAGTTGTGCTGCAGATGTGGAAGATGCCAGCAGTTTCCCATTTGCATCCTACATTTCCAGCTTTCCTGATAGTGAAAGAAAAAAAACAAAAGAGGAACAAAAACAGAAAAAAAAAAACAGAGAAATTCAGTGACGAGCTGAAAGACAACTGCTGCCACTGGCTGACACAAATCCCTCCCTACCTCGGCTGCTCGCATCCCAGCTGAAGGGTTTGCAGCGGACTGTGGCTGCACATCCCTGTGCACCCACGTCAAAGCAGTCGAATGGGAAAGCAGGCACGTGCAGTCATCATCTGAACCTCACATACGGGTACCCAAAGCCTGGAGAGCCACACAAAAGAAAGCAATCCTCTCCTATGCAACGGAAAGGTCAGAAATAACGCTGTCAGGCTGCACACACACTGCAAGATGGAGCTGTGGTTCAACGTGTCGCTGTACAACGCGCTGCTGCTACTCCTCCTTGCATGGCTGATTAAGATCAAACTAGAATCTGGTTTCTTGCTACAGACTGAGGATCTCAGCTATGAGAAAAGGCTGAAAGATTTCTCATTGTTTCTTGTTCTAAATAGGTAGGAGTGGCCTGATGCAAAACTCATTTTTAAAAGCTCATCATAAAGGTGAGATCAGTATTTTCACCATATTAATTATTTTCAGTTGTTAAGGCAGAGACTATAATCTATAATGGAAAACTGATCTTCAGCAGCTTGCAAACAGCTAAATCCTGCTAGTCACGACAATTTTGTATTCAGTCAAGGTATACATTCTTTAGGCAGCGGAAAAATAACCTTGAACTTTTCCTCGCCCTCCATGTCTTACAAGCCATTCTGCACAACACTTAAAAATCAGCCTGTGAACAAGGACAATTACCAATTCATTTAATGAAAATTAAAAAGGTTAAACATGCTAGAAGTATAACTTTATAACACAAAAATGTGTGTGGGGGGGAGGGAATTCTGAAGTGATTAGCACTCAAAAAAGAAACAAAAAGTTTGATGCTTTCCTTCTCCAACATTGCTTATTTTGCTAATATGAGACACATTTTTGCACCTTGAGTACTTCCATCCTATGTGCTATTCTTCCTGTTTTCTTCCATCAAGTTTGCTTGCAACATAGACTTGCATCA